TTTTTATTTTCTAGTCCTCTGATAGAATAATTGGGAGATCTTCAAGACTGCTGATTATTTCATCTGAAATTTCTAATCTGATGTTGCTTCCCCAGTGAATTTCTCATTCATTACAGTTACTATACTTTTCAATTCCAAAATTTCCTTTTTGTTCTTTTCCAAAATTGTTTCTTATTAATATTCTCTTTAAGCTATTTTATCATAATTTCATATAACTCTTTAAACATGGTTTCTTCAGTTATTTGAGCATATTTGTAAGAGTTGTGTTGAAGTCTGTTGCCCAGGCTGGTCTCATACTCTTGGGCTCAAGTGATCCTCCCATCTCAGCCACCCAAGCTAGTAGGATTATAAACATGAGCCACCATGCCTTGTTCACTTTTCTTACACAAGATTTCATAGGTTTTTCTGGTGAATAAATATTTCCCAGTCTGTCATATGCCTGTGTTTGATTTCCAGGGTGCCGAAGTGGTTGTTTTTTGACAATTTTGTCATATTCCTGTGTTTCAGGAGAGGATTTGATGAACTCCTCATTCCATCATTCCAGTAGATCAGGTTTTTACAGGGCACATGCAGAAATACTGAAACTAATTTGTGTGCTTATAAAGTGTAGGAGACAGAACTCTAAAGATGCTTCCTCAACATTGCCACACCCTGGCATATTCAAAGAAGCTCTTAACTGGATACTGTGGTAAAGAGACTTTGTAAATGTAATTAAGATGATGAATCTTAAAACAGAGAGTTTATCCCGAATTTTCCAGGTTGGCACAGTCTAATTACTTGAGCTCTTAAAAGCAGAGATAATTTTATCCGACTAGGGTCATAAAGAAGCAGCAAAAGAGAGAGCAAGAAAGATGAGACAGAGGGGAAGTCAGACAGATTCAACTCTTGAGGAGTCCACATGTCATTGCTGGTTTGGAAGACGGAGTTAGCAAGGGGGTTGCACAAACCGGGAAATGTGGATGTTCTCTAGGGCCGAAGAACAGCCTCCAACATTGCAAAAAAACAGGGACCTTAGTCCTACATGGCCACGTGTATTAGTCTGTTTTCACACTACTATAAAGCGCTACCTGAGACTGGGTAATTTATGAAGAAAAGAACTTTAATTGACACAGTTTGACAGGCTTAACAGAATGCATGACTGGGAGGTCTCAAAAAGCTCACAATCATAACGGAAGGTGAAGGGGAAGCAAGTGTGTTTTACCATGGTGAAGCGGAAGGGTGGAAGGAAGTGCTAAACACTTTTAAACTACCAGATCTCGTGAGATCTCACTCATAAGACAGCACCGGGGGATGATGCTAAACCACTAGAAACTGCCTCCATGAGCCCATCACCTCCCACCGGGCCCCTCCTTCAACATGTGGGGTTTACAATTTGACATGAGATTTCAGTGGGGACACAGAGCCAAACCATATCACCATGCAGCTGAATTTGCCCAACAACCTCAATGAGCTTGGGAGTTAATTCATCCCCAGAGCTTCCAGCAATGAATACAGCCCTGGACAACAACTTGATTTCAACTTGTGAAACCTGGAACAGAGAACTAACTGAACCACACTATGCCTGGACTTCTCACCTACAAAACTGTGAGATACAAATGGGCATTACCTTATGACATACAATTTGTAGTAATCTGTCATGTCAGCAATAGAAACTAATTATCTAGTATTGGACAAGTAATGTGTTGTGGATAATAAGAGGCAGGTTTCTCACTCTTAAAGTATTTACAAATGAGGAAAAGGAAGATTAACATGAACTCTATGGTGTTGGATTGCACTTGGAGGTATCCATATTCATACACACATAAATAAATATGGAAATAGATGTTATGTATGTTAACAGGCACATCTTGGTTTTCAAATGCCATTATTCAATCCCCAAATAACAGAAAGCATAAGAGGAGCCTAGAGTATCTTGTGGTGTTAAACAGTAAAGATGTGCTCAAATAGTGATGTAAATATGTCCAAAAAATGCAGGAGCCAACATAATGGGGCTCCAATGTCCACATATTAAACAATTTGACAAAAAGAAAACTAGTGGATAATAACCTTATAGAATAAAATAAGCGTCAATTAATTTATATTTATGCAAATAATTGAGTAACAGAGGAAGACACACTTCTTTGTTAGATTATAATGCCAATTAATAAACGTTAAGGAAGTGATAAATATGGAAAATCACTATTAGCAAAAACCACATTAAACATGCAACAATCATAATGGATGCTAAAATTAGTGGATGCAAGTTTGCTGAGAAACAGTGTATTTCTATGGTCTCAAAGTATCCCTTCAAGATCTAGTTATTAATAACACAGGAGAAAATAAAATTAGAGAGTGATCACTGTTGGCAGACATATGCCTTAACCAAGTGATCGAAGTTCTGTCATATTTAGACAACATATACTCAATAATATGTGTGCTGAGAAGAGCCTGATATCATTTTTACAAAAATAAAGTATGTTAAAATAATCATAAGAAAACATCAGACTTATCCAAATTTATGTGTATTCTGCAAAATAACTGGCCAATCCTCTTCAAAATTGTCAAGGTAATGTATGGTAGCCAGCCCCCAATATCGTCCCAGTGATAATCACAACATTCATGCCTCTTGGTATTCACCTTTTGTCTTTTCTTCCCACCCAGTACCGGATGTGGGAGGCAGAATTGTAAAGACATCTTCTCCTCCATGGATTATTCAACCAAATATGAATCAAGGCATTGTAGTTTACTGAAAAGTTGTTTTAAATCCTTTTAAGGACTTTGCGGCTGGAATTAAGATTACTAAGGTTATCTGTATGACCAGTAGACTGTGGTAGAAAAGATAATATGTGACTTCTAAAATTAAGTCTTATAAGACCTTATGATTTCAGTTTTGGTTGCTCTCACTCTCCTATGTGTCATTAACCTGGGGGCAGTCAGCGGCCACGTCACAAGACCTATGAAGAGGCTCACATGTTGAAGAATAACTTCATTCTTCTTTTTCAAACAACCATGTTAGCACACTTTCTTATAAGCAGATTATCCAATCCCAGAGAAGCCTTCAGATGATTACAGCTCCAGCCAACGTCTTTACTGAGATCTCTTGAGAGACTTCAAAACAGAACCACCCAGCACAGCTGCTCCTGAAATCCTGACACACAGAAATGGTAGGATAATAAATGTTTCCTGTTTTAAGCCACTAAAGTTTAGAGTTATTTGATACATAGAAATAGAGAGGAAATATATCCTGAAGAAAAAGGCTGGGGAACCATTCCAGATTGGAAAAGATTAAGAAGCGGTAATAAATAAATTTAACATGAGATCCTTGACTGGGTTCAGATCACATAAAGACCACTGAAGCAGGAAATTACCCTGATCCCTTTGCAGGCGGAAACTGAAGTGTGGGCACTGGAGCTAGCTGGTTGCTTTGGTGCCAGCAGGGGCAAACTCCACTCACTAGAACCTTGCAGAAGAGAGCACGTAAGTGAGTGGGTGCAAGGAGCCAGGGCGAGTGCTTTTGGGCACCAACAGAAAACTCCATGCAGACCCCATGGCAGCATCTAGTGGGGAGTACCTGTGACCCCCAAAGCCCCAGGGCCATGTGTTACAGCGCTCTTTTAGCTTTGCCATATGCAGATGGCTTAAGTGTGAAACAGCTCCGTGGGCTACCTTGCCTTTTGGTGTGAGGCAGTTGCTCTCCACCAGCGAGGGCAGAGGGTCAGTGTGATAGCCTTTAGCATTGGCACCCGTGGCACCTGAGCTCTTGTTCAACATCCAGGAAAAATTAGGTTGCATGAAAGAATTGAAGGGTGGTGAATGCAAAGGATTTTATTGCCGATGAAAGTGGCTCTCACCTGGAACTGGAAAGGGATTAAGCAGGAAGGTAATCTTCTCCCAAAGTCTAGCCACCCCAGACTTCTCCCCAAAAGACTCAAACCACAGTCTCCAATGTCCAGCTGCTTTTCCTCTTCTCTCCTGCTCTTCTGGCAGAATCTGGGGTTTTCTGTGCACAGGATGGTGAGGGGAGTGGGCCATGGGTGATTTTGGAAAAGGCAACATTTGAACAAGAAAACAGAAATGCATGTTCTCACTTTGGGCTGTGGTTCCCAGGCTTGAGGGTGGGGCCTTTGCTGGTTACCTCTCTCTTCTGCCCAGAATTTCCCTGCCTCCTGTCCCTGTCACTATTAGTGTTATGATTGGCAAAATTATAATAAAATCTGTAGATTAGTTAATAGTATCATGCCAATGCTAATTTCTTGGTAATTGTTTCTAGTTTTAGGTAACTGTTCTATGGATTTTTAAAATATTAACACCAGGGAAAGCTGATAGAGGAATTTTATGTGTGCTATTTTACAAAGTCTAAAAGCGCTACAAAATGGTTTTAAATAGGAAGGCAGACACACTAAATTTGAAAAGAAAAAATATATCAATTCTTGATAATTTTTATAAACTTAATTTTAGCTGAAGCACCAAAACATTATAATCCCAATATACCTACTGAGTTTTTCAAAGTGGGTTATATCATTTATCTATTTTTGATTACTCATATGTACTGTAAAAGGTCATGTTTATTGGACTTTGCTGCCAAAAAAGCAGAAGGAACCTAAATGTATGGGAACATTATATTTCAAATTAACATTCAATATTATTTCCTTAAAATATTTTACTATTAAAATAAACTGAGAAAAATTAAATACATCCCACACTTTTTAAAATCAGATATTTACAAATAAACCATCTGCAAAATGTGTCCTCATATAAATCTTACATATTAATCTGTCATATATAGAAATTGTGTAAGAGAATTTTCCTGGTATATATTTCATAATAAATGTGGTTTGTATTGAATTAGAAACATCTGTTGAGATATGAGAAATCACTGGATTAAATTATTAATACATTCACCAAGTTTAAAAGTATACTATTTCCCTTTCCCATCCATAAAATGTGCTTATGTTCACAGAGATAAGCCAAGTTTCAAACATGTGTCATTTAATAAGCTCAAACACTTACAACAATTTAGCATAAACATTACGATTTAATAAATGGTATGAATATATATTTTGCATACTTTACAATAATGAAAATTTTGAAAGAAAATTGATCTAAAACTTTGTTTTCCTCCAATTTATATAATAAAGTCAACTGTATGCAGTTCTTTTCATGTATAAGTTTTACATTTGTATTTTCTACAATTAAATAAATTCAGATGTTACATTTTAAGACATATATCCAATTATGTACAAAATTACAATGTCAACTTATAAGTCAGTCTTACTTAAAAATCACAAATTACAAAAAAACACACTATGAATAATTTGTTCCAGAAGTATCGTACCACCTCATATGATCAAGATGAACCCAAAGGTAAAAAGCAATTATTATAAATTACAGTAGTGTCTGTAAAGCCCTATTATAAAGGAGATATTCTTTTAAAATATATACATTATATATAAAGGCTCCTGACTCCCTTTAAGTACCAAAATTATTTTCAGTTTAACCACTTTCATTAAAAAGCTTAAGAGTACCACCTTATAAAACTGAGTATATAAAATACAACACAGCCCTTGATAACTAAGAATCTTTATAAATTCTGAATATTTAGTCACCTGTTTATCAAATTATTCCTATGGATGGGGGATATCTTTCTTCCTCTAAATTAAGTGGCCCTAGACTAATATATTTGTATAGTTATTCTGTTTTCTTTCTTACTGTCATTTCACATCTCTATCAGTGAGTTCCTCAGGATTTGCCATTATTTTACAACTATGAAAGTCTTCAATCCAATTTCCTGCTTCCACATATAGGACACAGCAAGCCTGAACTCTCCTTTTTTCTGGACTCTAATAGGAAGCAGCATTTACAATCTGGCTTGGCGGGAGGGAGACTGTTAATTGAGGTAGCGTGTGTGTTCCCCTGCCTATCCTGCCCTGTTTCTTTGGTTGCTATAAATTTCCTGCTTCTCAAATATCTGGATTTTTTTGGCTACCTATTTGGCTTCAGGCATGTCTTTGGTGTTTATATCTGTCTGGTTTTAGTAGGTCTCTCTGATTCCTTCTCTAATATTCAAGTGTGCTTGCTTGCCTAACTGCTCATTCCTTCTCCTTGAATTTCACTTTACAATTGCAGTAGGCGCTATCATCCTTGGCCATAGATTACCATAAAACATAATTTCTTAAATTCTGCAAATTTCTAGTATTTCTAACCCTGGTTTCCTACGAGATCTAACTAACACTAAGCTTGGGTTACCCTGATTACGGTGTATATAAAACATTGCTTGTGGAAAACCAACCTAGGACAAACTTATATGAGAAATGTGATAATGAATTTTATTAAATGAATAACCCTTATAAAAATTTTAAATGCAATAATATCTGGATTTGGACTTCAATAATTTTCTTAATAAGTAAAATTCTTAACTATGGTAGAAGTTATATTTGTTGATGTACACTGATCTATACCCTCCATATTCTCAGCAAAGTTGGCATAAATCTGACCTGAATAAATAGGGTTATAACATAATCAGGCTTATAAAATACTTTATTAAATCAATGCATCAGTTCAAGCAGGGGTCGCAACCCTCGGCTGTGTGTGGTCTGTTAGAAATCAGGCCATACAGTAGGTGACTGAGCTGCAAGTGAGCGAGCATTATGGTCTGAACTCCACCTCCTGTCAGATCAGTAGCAGCATTAGATTTATAAGAGTGCAAACCCTATTGTGAACTGCACATACGAGGGATCTAGGTTGCTCACTCCTTATGAGAATCTAACTAATGCCTGATGGTCTGAGGTGGAGCAGTTTTATCCCAAAACTGTACCCTCTTTTCCCCATGGAAAAATTGTCTTCCACAAAAATGTTCCCTGATGCAAAAAAGGCTGAGGACTGCTGAGTTAAGGGGTAAGGTTTAATGTTTTAATTAAACAACAATAATAAATGACTACTGTACGCAAGGCACTGTTTTAGGTGCTATGAGTAATGTGTTAAGTGACTGGCTTTTCAAACAAGAAAAATTAAAGTACTAGGTATATAAGTATTGATCAGTAGTTTCATATTTAGTTGGCATTTTTCTTTACTGACTGGTACTTTCCTCTGAAATATATGTAATTGAATAATACTATCACAGAATCATAAAAGTGTGAAAACTTGTAATATCAATAAATTATTTCCTGGAATTCTTGAATTAAAGTGAAAATATGTGTATACAATGCTGATGTTTCTGTATTCACTATACACCAGGACACAGGGAAAATAACTAACATATTCTAACAGTTAAATAACTTGCTTTAAGAAAGAAAGGCCAAACTAGTATACATAAATTCAAAAACAAATTACATAGCAAACCTGGTTTTAAATTCATAGGCTTTCAGTAATAATTCCCAGAATTCATCATACAACTTTGATTAGTTCAAATTTTTATACCGTAAACATTCTAAGCTCAAAATATTGACAATGAAAATTAAAATTAAACAAGTTGTAATGGGGATAGAAACATCACTATTTTTAATGTTAATTTTTCTAACTAATTATGGGCCTTTTTCTTGTTATTACTTGAGGATTTCATACCTAGAGACTGGGAATGAGAAATAAGAGAGTGTGTGTGTGTGTGTGTGTGTGTGTGTGTGTGTTGAGGTTTTGGTGGGCTTTGAAGGCACGTGTCTGTTTCTTGCATGAAAAAAACACTTATATAAAATAAAAATACATTTGATTATAAAAATATCAACTTTTTAAATATGATTGTCCATATTGGATAGATAATGCTGCCATGGTAATGTGTGTTCTTAAAAATCGAGGTAAAATTCTCAGGTGTAAAACAGTCTTCTATTTTTCCATTTCACCCTTCTTTTCCTACTCTGTTGAGATCCTGTTCTACTAAAACATTAGTCACAACTGCATTCTGATTGTGAAATGACATGTCTGTGGCTGATAGAGGTGGTTTATACAAAAAGATTGCAAATCCATTGAAGAAAACGGTGATAACTTTACAAGCAACACCTAGGAGAAAAAAAAAAAAATTAGTCACACGTTTTTGTCTTTACTTTAATTTTGTCTTTAATTTCTCAGTGACAAAAATTATCACTGCAAAAAATCTTCATGAATAGAAACATATTAAAGAGAATAATTACATAGCCATTATAGTTAAATGTTTAAAATTTTTAAAACATTAGGGGGAAAGAAAAAACATTTGTATACAATTCAGTGCATTAGTATTTATTTTCTTTCTAAGCAGTAATAAAGTATAATAATTATCTTATTCTTGGTTATGCTTGTGCATTCTTGCAAAATAAGTGCCGTATAGGACTAAATAAATCCATCTTCTACTTCTAGATTTGTTAACACAAGCCAGATGGGTCGTTCATGCCCATAATCCCAGTACTTCGGGAAGCTGAGGCAGGTGGATGTCTTGAGCCCAAGAGGTCAAGACCAGGCTGGGCACTATAGGAAACCCTGTCTCTACCCAAAAAAATTACAAAATATATCCAGGTGTAGTGGTGTGAGCTTGTAGTCCCAGCTACTTGGGAGGCTGAGGTGAAAGGATTGCTTGAACCCTAGAGGCGAAGGTTGCAGTGAGCTGAGATCATGCCACTGCCCTCCAGTCTGGGTGACAGAGCAAGACACTGTCTCAAAAATAAATAATTTGTAATACAGTAAAATAGCACCAGTAGATAAGGAAAAATAAATAAATAAATAAATAAATAAATAAATAATTTGTTTATACAATATTGTATCTATAAAAAAATTATCAAAAGTTAATAAGGGAAACTAGTTCATAACATCCATGAACCTGAATAAATTACAGAACATCCCCAGGTTAGAAAATAATTCTAAAAATAAAATAGGTTTTAGAGTTCTTAAGAGAACCTCTGTGGGAGTATATCACACTCAATACTTAATCAAATCTACTCTTGTTGTCAGATAAAAATACAAAACATTAAGATTCACCTTACAAACTTTGATTTGTCTTCAAGTAAATCTGATTTTGAGCTCAGTTATATGAACAGAAACTATTTCCAATCACAGTATAAGCATTTAATAAGTGTCAGCCAAATAAATTAAATGTGTTCTCACAGTATTGCTCTTGCAGTAGCTGGGTTCCTTTTGTTGATTATTAATATTGTATTTAAAATCATGTATTTGAAAACAGAAATGCTTGCTCATCTAGGCATTACTAGATTTATAGTTACATAGGTACAAGTTACAACATTCTTTTATTTGTTTCTGAAAATTTTAAGGCATATATATATATATATATATATATATATATATATTTTTTTTTTTTTTTTTTTTTTTTTTTTTTTTTTGAGACGGAGTTTCGCTCTTGTTACCCAGGCTGGAGTGCAATGGCGCGATCTCGGCTCACCGCAACCTCCGCCTCCTGGGCTCAGGCAATTCTCCTGCCTCAGCCTCCTGAGTAGCTGGGATTACAGGCACGTGCCACCATGCCCAGCTAATTTTTTTGTATTTTTAATAGAGACGGGGTTTCACCATGTTGACCAGGATGGTCTCGATCTCTCGACCTTGTGATCCACCCGCCTCGGCCTCCCAAAGTGCTGGGATTACAGGCTTGAGCCACCGCGCCCGGCTGGCTTTTATATATTTTATGGGGAAAATTCTCACATCCATCATTGAGTAGGAAAATGAACAATTCATTATCAATATCTTTGACCAAAAAGTACAAAAAAAAACTAATTAAATGGATTTTAAACATAAAAATATTGTATGTAGTCATAATTATGGTAAAAATATGTAATTAAAAAATTGAATAAAAAATGGTTTTTAACAACTGGTAAAAGTTATGGGATGATTAATTTTACCTATACTTGTCGATACTTACTCCCCAAGTATTTTATGAATTTATACATTTATTTCTTCAGCAAATATTCTATTAGTCTGTCACTATCAACTCAGAAAGTATACTCTGGATTTACATACATGTAAGAGTAATAATAAGCCTATCTTGATACTGTGTCAAAGGAATCACAGTGAAAATCATACATTAAATACATACACATGTATACATTCAGTATTTCCCTATTTTAAGATATTTTAGTTTCTTAGGTTATTTTTCAAATTTTAAATTTCAATTTTTATCTTACTAGTACAAACTAAATACATTGTTCTACTTCCTTAAACTTACCTTAGATTTTGTTCACTGTTTCAATAAGACAATGCAAACTGCAAAAGGCAAAAAGAATTAAACACCACAGCTAACCTTCTAAACTATAAAAACGTTCCTTACAATGTGCCTGAGAGACAAAAGATGCTTCCCTGTCTCAGCTGTACGTGTTTTACAACACCTAAATACCTAGACGACAATCATTCCAGGGAGTTTCTCAGAATTCTCTTTTAGCTTTCAAGTATACTTTTCAAAAATGTTTGAGATAAGCTGTTAAAAGAAAAGTATATACTGTATGATGTAATAAAAACTAGAATTTTATTTTCTTGTATGTAACACTGAGCCCTGCAGACTTTATCCATTCAAAGCCTTTCATAAAATTCTGTGATAATTGTTCTCTGCTTCAGGAAAACTACTGAATAGTTCAACATTGTGGACCAAATATTCCAAAACAACTGTGACTCTAAGTAACCAACAATGTGATTTTTCTTTTACATTCTTAGTTTACTCTAAAATTATCAAGAATTATCAAGAAGTTACCACTTACTTATGGTTACTAGCATATGGGCCATCTTGATGTTATTGTAAATCCAGCAAGCTCCTTTAATTCCACAATCATTTATATCCCAAAGAATACATGTGCTGTCTATTGTGATACCAAATATAATTGGTCCAGGTATTGTTCCTAAAAGAATTATGGGTGAAATACACATGGGTAAAGATTACGGTTCATAATTACAGATCTTTTTATACATGGTCATACATATATTTTATAGAAATGAAAATAGATATTCATCTGTCCACATGCAAATTAATCAATTCATGTACAAATCAAAGGAATACAAAGCACAGACATAATATTCTAAAATAAAATAATGATATGTAATTACTATGTATTTCTAATCAATTCAGAAAAGTATTTTAATATAAATAGCTAATATATATTGGGCTAGTATTTATATATTAGCCCGCTGCTTTTCTAATATAATAAATATGCCTTTGAAATTAGCTATTATACTTTTTAAAAATCATAATGAATTATTTATGATGCACGAATAAATCTGTTGACCTACTGTATATGTTAAATCCATCTAAGTGTGCATGTGCATATAAACTAACATGGGCCTCTGTGTGTATCAGTGTATATATATACCGATATACAGTCTTATAATATCATATCTAGTAATATCACTATCTTATATACCCGCCATCTCCAAAAGGACATGAGGGCCGGGCGCGGTGGCTCAAGCCTGTAATCCCAGCACTTTGGGAGGCCGAGGCGGGAGGATCACGAGGTCGAGAGATCGAGACCAACCTGGTCAACATGGTGAAACCCCGTCTCTACTAAAAATACAAAAAATTAGCTGGGCATGGTGGTGTGTGCCTGTAATCCCAGCTACTCAGGAGGCTGAGGCAGGAGAATTGCCTGAACCCAGGAGGCGGAGGTTGCGGTGAGCCAAGATCGCGCCATTGCACTCCAGCCTGGGTAACGAGCGAAACTCCGTCTCAAAAAAGAAAAAAAAAAAAAGGACATGAGGAACTCAACTTCCATATAGTTAAGGAACTTCCAATCATTTGAGGTAGTAATTCTTAGACAAAGATTTCAGCTATATCCAATCTGTTCTTTCATGATCTGTACAGCATGATATAGTCCAAGTACTAGACAGAGTTAGAAATCATTTTCCTAGTTTCATTTCTACCACAACTTGTATATATGGGCAAAACCCTGCACTTCTCAGGGCCTTAATTTACTCATCTGAAAAACTTGGAAAGTTGGACTAGGTAACTCTAGTGTCCCAACTTTTTGTTTTTGTTTAAAAATAACCTTAATATTATGTTTACTATGTCTGTCTTTCTTGTAATTTGTCCTGCATCTGGAACTTTATAAAATTCTCTGGTATAAATTCTTTCTTCCAATAATTCTTAACTAGTTACAATATCCATACTGCAGTTGCTATTGAAATATTTTAACATCATTTTAGTTGCTAATGTAACACATTAGCAAATAGAGATAAAAGCAGAAAGAAAAGTAATTATGTGCTGATTATCATATTTTATATTTCAAATAGACATGATACACCTTTTAAGGTTTTATTAGCAACAGAGTTGGAACAGGTAACCAGTCAGGTAGGTTAAAAGTATGCAATATGTAAAAAATCCTACACCTGAAGCATTAGAAAATGGCTTCCTTCGAAAAGAATGACGTATTCTTCCACTATGTTTTAACTTTTTTTTTTTTGCCACTTGTCATAAATGTAAAAATCAATAACACTAATGAACCGAAATAGCCAACAGTTACCAATGAATAAAGAAAAATGGCATACCCAATAATCGAAGGAATGTAAATTGTATTCCCAAGGCTAGGGACCGTTGCCTGTGATTAACACACCTGGAAATATTAAATACATATGAGACCAAAAAAAGGTGGTATAGTATATTCAGTATTTGAGTAAGTTCACATTTATAATTGTTTAGCATTTCTATATTAAAGTAAACATTGCAAACACAAGATAATTTTTTGTAAGAGCTTATAAATGATTTACTCTTCCTGGAATTATAAAAGAAGAAAAATGTTATCTAACCTAAAATACTGCAAATAACACCAAAGAGTCACTAGTCTTTACTAATTTTAGTAAAGGTAAAGGAGAAAGGGCATTCATTAATAAGACATATTTTCCATAAAAGCACTCAATAAATTATGTATAGAAGGAGGGTACCTCAATATAATCAAGTCCAAATATAACAAATCCACAGCTAACATCATACTCAATGGTGAATACCTGAAAGCCTTTCCTCTAAGATCAAGAACGGGACAAGAATGCCCACTCTCACAAATTCTATTCAGCATAGTACTAGAAGTCCTATCCAGAGCAAGTAGGCAAGAAAAATAAAAGGTACCCAAATTGGAAAGTAAAAAGTAAGATTGTCTCTTTGCAGATGACATGATTATATATGTAGAAACCCCTAAAGATCCTGCTCAAAAAAACACTACAACTAGCAGATGAATTTAGCAAAGTTTCAGTATACAAAATCATAATACAAAAGTCAACTGCATTTCTACATATCAACAATGAACAAAAGGAATCAAGTAAACAACAACATTTACAATAACATTGAAAAATGAAATTCTTAGGAATAAAGTTAACCAAAGAGGTAAAGTACTTGTACATTGAAAGACATAAAATATTGATGAAACAAATTCAAGAAGCCACAAATAAGTGGAAAGATATCTCTTGTTAACAAATTGGAGGAATAAATATTTTAAAATATCCTACATCAAGTGATCTATAGATTCAGTGTAATTTCCATCAAAATTCCAAAGACATCTTTCACAGAAATAGAAAAAAGAATCTTAAACTTCAAATGGAATGATAGAAGATCCAGGATAGCTAAAACAGCCAGAGGATGGAACAAAATGCAAAACGATGGAATAAAAAACTCCAAATTAATAACTATCTGCACAGAAAAAAAACACACAGTTTCAGGTGAGCATTTACAGTACTTGGTTTGAACTTTATATTCCTGAAAGAGGCACTTTAGAGATTAACAGTCCCGAATCTTGGACACCATCCCTCCTCAACCTGGGCAGTAGCAGCGCAGTACAGAGAGAATCTCTGGGGTTTGGGAGGGAGAACATAGCAATTGTGAGACAATAAAATTGCTGCCGACCTGTTAGAGCAGAAAGGAAAACCAGACCAACTCACCTGACATCTGTCCACAGAGGGAGCATTTAAACCAGCCCTAGCCAGAAGGTAATCCTCTATGCAGCAGTCCAAACTTGACTGCTTAAGAAACAGCTTCACCACAGGACTACAGCACTGTGTCTCCAAGTTAACTCAAAAAGCAGACTAGGCCATAGGGATTGAAACTCTTGGGCAAGTCTTAGTGAATGTGGACTGGAGGCACACCTGACATACTGAGACACCAGCTGGGGCAGACAAGGGAGTCCTGGCAGCACCCCTTCACTAATCCCAGTCTGCACAGCTCCAGTTTCCAAAAGAAATCCCTTCCTGCCACTTGAGGAGAAGAGAGGGAAGAGTGAGGAGGATTTTGTCTTGCATCTAGCATACCAACTCAGCTACAGGAGGACAGAGCACCAGTCAGAGTTCTGAGGCCCTTTCATTTCAGGCCTTAGGTCCCAGACAACATTTCTAGACACACTTTGGGCCAGAAGGGAGCTCACTCCCTTAAAGGAAAGACACCAGTCCTGACAGCATTCATCACCTGCTATCTGAAGAGGCCTTGGGACTAGAATCACCAGCACCCATACCCAGGTACTACATTGAAAGCCTTGGGTGAGACTTGCTGGCTCCAGATAAGACTCAGCAAATTACCAGTTGAGGTGGCTACAGGGCAAAATTCATTCTGCTTCAGGAAAGTGAGGGAAAAGTGAAGGGGACTTTGTCTTGCACTTTAGGTACCAGTGCTGCCACAGTGGAGTAGAGCACCAAGTCGGCCCTTGGGGTCCCCAATTCCAGAAATTGACTCTTTGACAGAATTTCTGGACCTGTCCTGGGTCAGTGGAGAGCCTACTGCCCTGAAAGATGAGTCTCAGGCTGGGCAGCACTCACTAGAAGCTGACTTAAAGAGGCAGTGGGCCTTAAGGGAACATTGGTGGTAGTCTGGCAGTACTCCTCGTGGCCTGGGTTGGTGGTGTCTATGGGGTGAGGCTTCTCTGTCTTTGCAAAGGGGAAGGAAAGAAGAGTGGGAAATATTGTGTGGTTTCCATGCCAGCTTAGCCACAATGCAATACAAGAGTCTAAGGTTTTTGCCTCTAGTCTCTGACTTCTGGGTGGCACTTCTAGATCCACCAGTACCTGTGGAACCACTCCACCCTGAAGGGAAGGACACAGGCTTGGCTAGCGTTCTTACTTGCTGATTGTAGAGCCCCAGGCACTTAAGCAAACAGAGCCAGTAACCAAGAAGTGGTTACAGAAGGCCTTAGGAATGACCCAACACTGTGCTGGCTTCAGGTGTGATCCAGTGTAATCATAATGGTGGTGGCAATAGAGGTGTTTATGTCGCTCCGTCCTTAGCTCCAGGTGGCTCAGAACAGAGTGAGACACTGCAAAAACCACAGCATTACTGGCCTTGGGGTGTCCCCGAAAGCAGGTACAACTAAAATCCAAGAAGAACACCCAAGTCCTTCCAAATATGTGGAAAGTCATCCCAAGAAGGAGGTTACAAATAAACCCAAACAACGAAGACTACAATAAATACTTGACTCTTAAATACCTAGATGATGGAGAACACCCACTAGTATCAACACCATCTAAAAAACCATGAACTCACCAAATGAGCTCATGGCACCTGAGACCAATCTGAGAAACAGAGAGATATGTGACCTTTTAGACAAAGAATTTAAAATAGCTGTGCTGAGAAAATTCAAAGAAATTCAAAAAATGCTGAGAAGCAATTCAGAATTCTATCAGATATATTTTACAAGAAGACTGAAAGAATATTGGCCGGGCATGGTGTAATTCCTGTAATTCCAGCACTTTGGGAGGCCGAGGTGGGTGTATCCCTTGAGGTCAGGAGTTTCAGACTCAGCCTGGCCAACATGGTAAAACCCCATCTCTACTAAAAATACAAAAATTAGCTGGGCATGGTGGCATATGCCTGTCATCCCAGCTACTTGGGAGGCTTAGGCAGGAGAATTGCTTGAACTTGGGAGGCAGAAGTTGCAGTGAATCAAGATCACGGCCACTGCTCTCCAGCCTAGGCAACAGACCAGCAGAGACTCCATCTCAAAAAAAAAAAAAAAAAAAAAGAAGAAGAAGTCAAGCTGAAATTCTGGAGCTAAAAAATGCAATTGGCATATTGAATAATGCATAAGACTCCTTTAATAGCAGATTTGATAAAGCAGAATGAAGAATTAGTGAGATTGAAAACAAGCTTTTCGAAAATATAGAGTCATAGGAGACAAAAGAAAAAAGAATAAAAAAAAATGAAGCATGCCTACAGCATCTAGAAAATAGCCTAGAAAGGAAAAATCTAAGAGTCATTGATCATAAAAAGGAGGTAGAGAAAAAGATGAGTTAGAAAGACTATTCAAAAGGATAATAACAGAGAACTTCCCAAACCTAGAGAAAGATACCAGTATCCAAGAACAAGAAGGTATAGAACACTAAGCAGATTTAAGAACACTAACCCAAAGAAAACCTCAAGCCACTTAAAAATCAAACTTGCAAACATCAAGGATAAAGAAAGGATCATAAAAGTAGCAAGAGAAAAGAAACAAATAACATCCATTGAAGCCTCAATACATCTGGCAGCAGATTTTTCAGTGGAAACCTTACAGGCCAGAAGAGAGTGGCACAACATATTTAAAGTGCTGAAGGAACAAAACTCTTACCTTAGAACAGTATATCTGGTTAAAATATCCTTCAAACATGAAGGATAAATAAAGACTTTCCCAGATACGGATTTCATCAATGCCAGGCCTGTCCTATAAGAAATGCTAAAGGGTGTACCTCAGTCAGAAAAAGAACATTAATGAGCAGTAAGTAATCACCTGAAGGTCCAAAACTCACTGGTAATGATAAGTACAATGAAAATCACAGACTATTATAACACTGTAACTATGGTGTGTAAACTACCCTTATCCTCAGTAGAAAGACTCAATGATGAACCAATAAAAAAATAATAACTACAACAACTTTTCAAGACAAAGTCAGTACAATAAGATATAAACGAAAACAGAAAAAAAAGATAAAAAGCCAGGAGACAAAGTTAAAGTGTAGAGTTTTTATTAGTTTTCTTTTCACTTGTTTGTTTATGCAAACAGTGTTAAGTTGTTTTCAGGTTAAAATAAGACTTATAGTATTTGCAAATATTATGAACCTCAAAAAAAAAAATGCAATGAATACACAAAAAATTAAAAGCAAGAAACTAAATCAGATCACCAGAGAAAATCACCTTCACTAGAGAAAGACAGGAAGAAAAGAAAAAAGAAAGAGAAGACCACAAAATGACCAGAAAACAAATAATACAATGGCAGGAGTAAGTTTATACTTATCAATAACATTGAATGCAAAAGGATTAAACTCTCCAATCAGAAAACATAGCCTGGCTGAAGGGTTGAAAAAACAAAACCCATTGACCTGTTGCCGACAAGAAAGGCACTTCACCTATAAAGACACACATAGACTGAATATAAAGAAATGGAAAAACATAGTCTATGCCAATGGAAATTGAAAGAGAACAGGAGTCATCACTATACCTAGAAAAAAATAGATTTTAAGACAAAAACTATAAGAGACAAAGTAAGTCACTAGATAATGATAAAAGGGTGAATTCAGCAAGAGGATATAACCATTTTAAATATATATGTAGCCAACACTGGAGCACCCAGATATACAAGCAAATATCAGTAGAGCTAAAGAGAAAGGTCCTGATACAATAATAGCTCGAGACTTCAACACCACATACTTTGCATTGAACAGATCTTCAACACAGAAAATCAAGAAAGAAACATCATACTTAATCTGTACTATAGACAAAATGGATCTAATGAATATTTACAGGACATTGCATCCAAAAGCTACAGAATACACATTCTTTTCCTCAGCACATGGATAATTCTCAAAGATTGGCCATATGTTAGGTTACAAAACAAGTCTTGAAACATTCAAATAAATGGAAATAATATCAACCATCTTCCACAATAAAATAAAACAAGAAATTAATAACAAAAGGATTTGGGAAACCATACAAATACATGGAAATTAAACAATATACTCCTGAATGACACCAAGTGTGTCAATGAAGAAATTAAGAAAGGTAATTGAAAAATTTATTGAAATAAATGATAATGAAAACACAACATGCCAAAAATCTCAGGTATATGGCAAAAAAGTACTAATAGGGACATTTATAGCTATACCTTAAAAGAGAGGAAAAACTTCAAATAAACAATCTAATAATGCATCTTAAAGAATTGGAAAAACAAAAGGAAACCAAACCAAATTTAGTAGAAGAAAAGAAATAATGACCAGAGCAGAAATAAATAAAATAATGTAGAAAATAATACAAAAGATCAATGAAACAAAAAATTGTTTTTTTTTTTTTTAAATTAAACAAAATTGACAAACCTTTAGCCTGACTAAGAAGAAAAGGGGAAGATTCAGATAAATAAAATCAGGAAAAAAAATAAAGAGAGACATTACAAGTGATATTGTAGAAATTGAAAGGATCATTGGTGGCTACTATGAGCAAAAATATGCCAATAAATTGGAAAATCAAAAAGAAATGGACAAATTCCTAGATACATACAACCTACAAAGATGGAATCAGGAAAAATACAAAATTGGAACAGACCAATAACAAGTAGCAAGATTGAAGGCGTAATAAAATGTCTCCCAGTAAAGAAAAGCCCAGTACCCAATGACTTCACTGCAGAATAGCCAAAGCTATCCTAAGCAAAACAAACAAACAAACAAAAAAACTTCACATGTACCCCTGAACTTAAATTAAATAAACAAAAAAAGAAAAGATAGTGGGTAAGTATTAAGAAACAACAACAACAAAAAATGCTATAATTCATTGGAAAAGATATACATAGACTGGTGACTCCATGGAAGGACAGGTATGAAATGTGTTTGTATACTGGGATTGAAGAAGGAAGAGCAACTGGAAACATAAAACACAGGTGAACAACCAGGTGACAGCCTGTTTCTTACTGATTAGCACTGCTTAAAGATTTAATGTCACAGTACCTAATGCATAAGGTAGAATGCACGCCATTCTGATTCTGGCATATTGGAATGCATTTTATTTCTGTGATACTCAAAAGAACTTATCTCCAGCTCACAACTGAAGTTTCATGAAAGAAGCAGAAAAAAATACCAAGCACAAGCCAGGTAGGCAATGTGAAGACACTTTCAAATGCATATCATTTAAATCTCTACATCTGGGGTTCTATGGAGGAGCTTATCCAATGCTACAGAACTAATGATCTTGTAAGGACTAGATTGGTATTGAACTAATGATCAGTATAAACCCCAAATGAGCCCAGAGTCCATTTTCTTTCCATCAACATATTGCCTTAGTGAATGAAACTTTCTCAACCTACTACATACCTTAGGATAGACACAGTCATAGGAGTACTAGTCATAAATGTAAAAATAATTATAATAAAGAAAATGCAAAGAAATATGGGCAGGTTTGCACAATGAGTTTCACATTTTCCAGCTGTAGCTTCAGAACCGAAAGTTTCTGCAGTGGATGTTACTTCTGTTTTCCTTTCAATACAGGAACAGTTGTAATATACCTAAAAATATAGACAAATAATGGAAGTGATTATTCAGAAAATAAATTATTATAAATTAGCTATTCTCTAGACATGGCAAACACTCTCATACTGACTTACACATACAGCAAATGACACTGAGAGAATACTTAACCCATAAGAAGTTAAGCAAGTAGAAACAAACCATATTTATAAAGTAGAAACAACTGTATTTGACTATTGCGGCCATTACTTCAGCTTGTAACCTGCTATAGTAATTACTGATGTACCAAACAATTTAATGGGAATGTAAGTTACATGATCTTGCACATTTCAGATTTCTTTCAACAGTAATTATTTCTTAAAGCCATTTTTACATCTCAACTGAATCCTTCCAGAGCTTTTATCCTTACTATACTATAAATCTTTTTGGACATTAAGTCCTCAATGAAATCAGAGCAGAGCCAGAGAAATCATAGAGAAGCAGTACTTTTATTGTGGCAAAGGCTAGAAACTTTTTTTTTTTTTCTTTTTTCTTTTTTTGTGCTAAAGCCATTCTAAGATAACTGGTACTGATTCAGGAAAACCAAATATGCAGATGACACCTCCAAAATTGACTATTACATATTCAGCAATCAGATATATCAAATAATGAGATAATTCAACCTTTAAAAATTTTAAGGAGAGCAACTGAGAAGAGCATTTTCTATTTTAATGAAACTTTACAACTCTCATTTGCCTGCAATATAGCAGTTTGTTAAGGTCTGTTTTTGTAGTTTGTGTCACTGGTGTGAAATATAAGATTAAAACAGTATTGCTGTGAACAAATGTATATAGATGTTTATTTAAAGTATTATAAATGTATTATAAAAGTATTATAAAAGTATTGCCTATCTGAAATATTTCATGAGAAAAACATATTGTGAATCAATGATTATTTCATGGACTGATTGGACATAAAACAGTCAGAACAAATAGAAAAGTTGCAAGTCAAAATCATTTGCTCTTCCTAAAAAATTCTAGAAGACAACATGCTGTGTAAGACAGTAATTACCTTAGCATTTGGTGAAAAATATAAATATTAAATTAATCATATCAAAATCACCAAAACTATTTTAAGTATGCTCTGGGTATTAGATTTCCTGTGTTATTTCCTTGTGTAGGATGTTATTTGTGTATATACATATTATGTGACTAAAATCCTTCTAATAACTCCTTGTCATAATCTATTTCTAATTCAAGTTAGCCAATAGCATTTATTAGTCATATATAAAGAAAAAAATTCAAATATTCAAAATTGTCATGTAACTCTTACACATCTTATTCATTGTTTTCATTTACACCACAGTAGATACTTCCCGTAGATTCTTTTAAAGTTATAACATTATCTACCAATGCATAATATACTATGCACTACTCATAATCTAATACTATTTATTGATAAGGCTCTTAAATTTAGCTAAGATAAAATATTAGATTGTAAGATATAGTACAATTAAATTGTATTGAGTTCTTTTAAACTATTTAACTACACTAAAAAGAAATAACATCTGGGCACATTGATTAGTATTCAGATACAGAAGTAGACATGAATTTGTATTTGAAAATAAATTATTTGAATATTTTTAAACATATTCATAGTACATCAAATAAAACAAATACTGTTTCTATTGTACAAACTGTACCTAGCAAAAACGGGAAAAGACTCTTGCCTTCAAGGATCTTAAAGTATAGTTGAGGAAAAATAAAACTGACCCTTGAATAACACAGGTTTGAACTGCACCAGTCCACTTAGATGTGGACTTTTGTCAGCTAAACATGGATTGAAAATATGGTATTCGCTGGATGCAAAACCCACATATAATGAGGCACTGGCTTAAAACGGGTTCTTCAAGGCCATTGGTGGAACTGAAGTGTGGCATACTTGGGTACGTGCAGGGGTTCTGGAACCCATCCCCCATGTATTCTGAGGGATGACGGTAAAACAAGACGAAAGGTAAAAGATATTTCACAACTGCAATAAAGTGATGTTACTAAAATACTTGTAACTTCCAAATTGACTTTTCAACAATTACTGCAAGACGCATGAAGAAAAAACAGTCTGTTTCAGCTGGAGACATCATGAGCTGCTTCATGGAAGCAGTGGAGCAGGAAGGCAAGAATAGGTATTGCATAATCCCATTAGAGAAGTCAAGATAGAAATCCAGAAACACATTGCCTCATTAAGGGAAAAGTAGGAGACATAAGTTACCTTTGGTTTCCTATTTGAAACTGAGTCTGCACAACCTGCAAAGCAGGGAGAAAAATATTGGACTCCATCCTCTCCACAGACAGGATAGTAATATGATCGCAAACAGTTACAATTGGTATTACAGGAAGCTACCAAGTTGCCCAATTCTCCAGTCCTGTAAATAAGAAATGAAAGAAGGGTAAATGAGCTATGTTATAACTTTTAACAGTTTAGAAGCACTGTTATATCTTACCATTCAGTCATTTATTCACTCACTCAACACATAATTACTAAACAAATAAAGCAAATAAAAAGTCTTCCTTTGCACATAAAGCTTAACTTCCTGTTGGAGAAAGCAGTAAAAACAATAGTCATATAGTGTAGTATCTGTCAGTAATTAAAAATATAAGACAGAATAAGTGAAGAAAACAGAGATTCTCATCTAGTGCCAGATAATTCTCTTGTGGGGTTGGTTCTGTGGACTGTAAAATGTTTAACGGCATCCCTGACATTCACCAGATGCCAGTAGCACTCTCCATTACAACAACCAAAATGTCTCCACACAATGCCAAATAGCTCCAGGATGTAGACAGTGTTTAAACTTGGAAGGATGAACAAAATCATGCTGTTGAACATAATCATCTCATCAATGGGAAAACTGAGGTCCAAGGAGATTAACTTACTTTTCTTTCCCTACCAAATATAATTTTCTGGGTCCCCAGGCCCAGTGTCATTTCAAACTGCCTCTTACAGAAAACATCTTCTCTAATACAAAGGGTTACACTAATCAAAAATGCATCCCTAGTAACTCATTTGTTTATTTATACACTCAAACAACATACATTGAGCAACTGCTAGGCCCTATGCTAGGTAACAGGAATACAAAGCCGAATGACACAGTTTCTATCCTCAAGGATTTCACAGTGTAGAAGTAGAGATGGACATAGATAATTATTCACTAATATGCCAAGTGTGGTTACAGATATCTGCAAGGTGCCTTTTAGAAGTACAAAGGAAGGACACCTAACACAAGCTAAAGTTTAGGGAAGAGGGGCTGGAGGAGGCGCTACTGCCTGAGATGCGATTTAAAGAATGAGTAAAAGGCTGGGCACAGTGGCTCATGCCTGTAATCCCAGCATTTTGGGATGCCGAAGCGGGCGGATCACCTGAGGTCAGGAATTCGAGACCAGCCTGGTCAACATGGTGAAACCTCATCTCTACTAAAAATACAAAAATTAGCTGAGTGTGGTGGCAGACACCTGTAGTCCCAGGTACTTGGGAGTTTGAGACAGAAGAATCTCTTGTACCCATGAGGCAGAAGTTTCAGTGAGCCAAGATCATACCACTGCACTCCCGTCTGGGCAACAGAGTGAGACTTCATCTTGGAAAAAAAAATGAAAAATAAAGAATGAGTAAGAGTTAGCCAGTCAAATGGGAAAAGGGAAACACACTTCAGAAAAAGCTGATACAAAGGCATAGAGTATAGAAACAGCACCCTCTGTGGAGAAATGTGAATGATATCTGAGGCACAGAGTGACAGGAAATGTAGCTGGAGAGGAGTCAAGAACCATCTTAATTGAGAGCAACATGGCCTGACAAAAGACAATCATTAAGGTGTTTTTACACTGGAAGTGACACTGTCAAAAGTTTGCTTCAAAGAAATAATTCTAGGAGTTGTACAGAGCATGAATTTGAAAAAAGGGGACCAGTTACAATACCTCAGACAGTAGGTGATGACAATATAAAGGATAACTAAAACAGAACCTAGGAAGCAGATTTTAAAAAGTTTTAGACATAGAATCAGTAAGATTTGGTGATGGATTGATTGAAGACTACTCTTCCTGTTAAGAATGGAAGAGGCTACTCAAGAGGCTAAGGCAGAAAGATCACTTGAGCCTAGGAGTTTGAGGCTCCAGTGAGTTATTGTGGCACTGCTCCCTAAAAAAAAAAAAAAAAAAAAAAAAAAAATGAAAGAAAAAAAAAAATGGGAGGGTCAAGGATGACTCCTTGCATCTAACTTGGTGTTTAGGTACAGAAGAACAAGTTTTGGAGAAGAGATGATGAGTACGGTATTGATTGTACATATTAAAATTAAGAGTCTCTCAAATTTAGTAAAGAAATCTTGCATGGAGCTAGACTTCTTAATATCCTTTTGGACACAGATGCAGTTGAAACCATGAACATTTATAAGATCAGCCATATAGTGTGTGGACTGAGAAGAGTACTGAGGTCTTGGGAGTCCACTTATTTGATAAACATATAATGAACACCAATTATGTGCTAGACTACTCAAAGTGGTAGAATTATATTTAAAAGAAAGAAGGAGCTACAGCTAGAACAAGAAATGACAGAAGGAGAGAGAAATAGATGGAAGGAAGAGAATGACGGAGGGGAGAAAAAAAGGAGAGGGAGGGAAGGAAGAAGGAAGGAAGAGAGGCAGGAAGGAAGAGAGAAGGAAGGGAGAGAGGGCAGGGAAAGGAAGGGAGAAAAGGAAGGGAAGGAAAAGAGAAAAAGAAAGGAAAAGGGAAGGAGGGAGGGAGAGAAGGAAACTCCTGTACTATGATGCTTTCTTGTACAGGGGTCAAACACAGAAACGACTAAATCCGTAGGGAGTCTGAAGAAAAAGTGATCAAAATAGTCTGCCCGTAGTCTCATCTCATTCGAATCTATTCCGCAGGACGCTGCCAGATTTATCTTTATCAAGTGTGATGATTCTACTCAGAAAGCAATCACTAGAGTGTCTGCTCACAGAGCTCATAACACAGATGCAGACATAAGTAGAGAAAAATCATCCCTGCAACTCTAGAAATAGCATTTACACAATAACTTTTAAAGTTCCCAATGTATAATTCTCATACTATTGATAAATAATTACTGAGATCATAGTTTAAGACTGCATGATGCAAATTATACTAGAAACAAAGAAATATAGCTTATATTCCTTAATATCAAGGGTTGGTCACATTAGTCTACATATTTTACAAAGGTTCACTTCATGAGGTAAGTAGAAAACTATTAGTAGAAAAATAGATGCTTGGAAAGATTATTAAATTTTCTTAGTGTATCCATATTATTTAAAAAATAATTATAATATATTTTTAAAAGGTTTAATAGCTTTTTTAATATAATAAAAGTACATGTATAAACATATTTATGGTTTTCACAAGTAGAATTCAAACATTAATTTCTTATTTAAATACAAAGTATTATTCTGTAATTATGCCTCCCTAACAGGCTAAAATTTCCCTAAAACTATTGCAAAATATTAATATGCTTCTTTAAGGTATTATTTCATATAATCAATGAAATTCTAGCTAAAGGCTAGATACAGAAAAAAATACTGTGTATATATACTATGGTATTTCTATATTCTATGAGGTTTAACTATTAAGTAAAACAAAAGTCATCATTACCACCACTGATCACCAAAACAAGACTCAAAGTTCCTATAGATTGTCAAGGCAACAAAAGCACAGTGTAAAACAGTGGGAAAATAAACAGTCTTCATGCAATCGAATTTAATATTGTGCCCAATTAAAGGTTTAATAATAAATTACTTTAAAGTATTATTGAAAAATATCCTGACCATTATCCCAAGAGAATTAAAATAGGCACAGAAAACCAAATACCACATGCTCTCACTTAAAAATCACTGAGTAATCATGGAATAAAAATGGCAACAATGGAAAGAACAGTTTAAGAAGCTCAAGGAATACCTTTTTAGGGAGTGAGAGACAGAAGAGGTTCTGAGGATGGAGGGTTATCTCATTTTATTTCACTTTGTTTTACTACACTTTGCAAATACTGTTTTTTGTTTGTTTGTTTGTTTTTTAACAAATTGAAGGTTAGTGGCAACCTAGTGATAGTGATAGTATTCAGCAAGTCTATCAGTGCCATTTTTCCCAGAGTGTATGATCATTTTATGTCTACTTCACATTTTGATAACCTTGCAAAATTTCAGTTTTTCATTATCATTTCTGTTATGGTGATAGGTGGTTTTTGATGTTACTATTATGATTGTTTTGGGACACCATGAACCATGTTCCTTTAAGATGTAAAATTTAATCAATAAACGATGTGTGTGTTTTTACTGCTCATTATTGTCTTACTTTAAGAAGTTGCCACAGCTACCCCAACCTTTGGCAACCATCACCCTGGTCAGTCAGCAGCCATCAACACTGAGACAAGACCTTCCACCAGCAAAAAAGTTACAACTGGCTGAAGGCTCAGATGATTGTCAGCATGTTTCAGCAATAAATAGTTTTTAATTAATGTTTGTATATTATACAAACATTAATGCTTGTTTAGACATAAGGTTATTGCATAGGCAACAGAGTATAGTACAGGATAAATATGACCTTAATATGAACTGGAAAACCCAAATACCCATTTGAGCTGCTTATTGTAATATATGCTTTATTTTGGTGCTCTGAAACTAAACCCACAATATCCTCAACCTATGTCTGTACTTTTTTTTATACATGTTTCTTAGATGAGACTAGTTTGACTGACCTTTTTGTAATATATACATTTTTATACTCAGGGTACAGAAGCTAAAACTAAGAATTTGGGCCATGAGAAAAAATGATCTGACACTGTCACACCTATTTAGTGACATTAAATTTTGTCCCTATTTCTATTTATACACACACACACATACATAAGTATGAGTAAATATTTATGAGTAAATATGAGTAAAAACACATACATTTACTGATATTTATGTGTGTGCATGTGTATTAACTTTCAGTTCTTGTCATCAATAAGAAATGTGTACTTGTATGAAACACTATGTTCCAGATTTGAATATATTTTAATGGCCAAACCCTACATGAACCTCAGAATTACCCTATCACATGTGCCTTCCTTTCTGATTACACTAAGGACAGCACACCTGGCAATAACTCTTATTTATTTAAGGTAGACAATGTATTTTGTTACTCAAGATGATAACCTATGTGTTACACTAACCAGAACTTCCTTTTTTTTTTTTTTTTTTTTTCTAAAAGGATCATACAGAAAAAGTTTACTGGGATAAGTCTGGGTGAAGTTTATAGGGCTGAAAGTCAGGTCTACACAATTTAGCCTCTACCTACCTTTCAACATTCCAAAATATATTTCTACTATTTCTAGACACATAATCTAAGTTCCATTCAAACTGGTCCCTGAACCTAGCCTTCATAATAGCATTTATAACCTTGTTTTAACATATACTCTCTCCCTTTCTCTCTTCTCAAATCTTATTTCTCAAAACTCTTTGTATCCTTGAAGGATTTATAAACCCCATTTCACTATTATGCTATGAGGCCCTTCCAGATTCTAATCAAATAAAATTGAAAAGCTCACCTTCTTTTCCATTCCATAGCACTTTGAATATTTCCCATTAGCAAGTTAACTATTCATTCATTCTTTCTTTTGCAATTTATCCTTTAGAACAGGGATTTTTGCTATAAAGTTCTGCCAAAGGAAGTATTCAACAAATGTTGAATAAATGTAATGGAGCTTGGCCAGTTGTGGGGGCTCATTCCTGTAATCCCAGCACTTTGGGTGTCCAAAGTGGGTGGATCACTTGAGGTCAGGAGTTTGAGACCATCCTGGCCAACACAGCAAACCCCATCTCTACTAAAAATACAAAAATTAGCCAGTCATGGTGGTGTGCACCTGTAGTCCCAGCTGCTCTGAAGGCTGAGACAGGAGAATCATTTGAATCCAGAAGGTAGAGGTTGCAGTGAGCCAAGATGGTGCCACTGCACTCCAGCCTGAGTGACAGAGCAAGACTCTCTCTCGAGAAAAAAAAAAAAAAAGAAAGAAAGAAAAGAAAAGAAAAGAAATGTAATGGAGCTTAACCAAACACTGCTTTAGAATGCTCAGCATTAATGTAAAAGAATCACAGATACGTTAGTAGTAACTATAAATCATGATCATCATTACTGGCAAATGAACAAAGTAGATTATATTTATATCATCTGAAGGTCGTATCATACAAAATTATGGAGTCCTTGACCTAGTGTATCACCTTCCTTAACCGCCTCAAACACATGTAATGAAACAATGAAAGCAGCACTATGAGGTATAAAATGCTGTGCAACACCCTCCTGCCTGACCACCTACTATGGTTTAAAATGTCAAAGCAAAACAAAGAAAGAAATATAAATAGTCAAATCAATTAAAGCTAGAAAAGTGTACAGATGAGAACAAGTTATTTATTTATCTAGAATAAACATAACCTTCTAAGTAGATACAATAACAATTAGTATTAGCTAGGACTAGCTTTATTCTAATTTCTCTTCTTGCCTATTTGCAACCAACCTAATAAGAGAATTTTTATAATAGGGAGTTATTTCAGTTTTTAAAAATTTAAACCAATAAAAACATATAATGTAAAAATTCTTCCTAGGATATGAATCCCTTAGAAACAAAAATCCCACTGTGTTAATCTTTGTATCCCTGAGGAAGTATAGTACCCAGTATATGAAAGTTGCTTCTTAAATGCCCTTTGTATAAATATTCCCAACTTTTAATAATACATCAATTATCTAAACTAAAAACAAAACTACATGCTCTCACATAGGAAAAAAAGCCTTCCAATTTTTTAAAGCTCCAGTTTCTCACCATTTAAGAAAACATATGCTTAGAAATGCTTAGTCTATTATTCCGGTATTATTATCAAAAAGCACTGAAATGTATTTACCCATTGTATGATTCAGATACACCAGCAAACGGCTCATTTTCACATTTGGCATAAATTAATACAAAACTCAGCATAAGTGCAACTCCAGATGTGAACAATGCAAACTTCATTGTGTTTTTACATGTCATTTTGAATTTTGAAACAAGGACACCACCTAAAATTTGACCGAGAGCAGCTCCAGGAATTATAACAGCCCCTAATAAGAAAAAAGAATGTAGACTGTGAGAAAACATAAACTCACCCATATTAACAATTGGAAAACATCAAAAACAAGTGCCAATATGGTTTTAACACGTAAAAGTATTCACCTGATATAGAAATATGTGTACAAATGACTTAACAGGTCCATCAATAGGGAATTAATCAAATTCATGTATTGAACATTAAGATTAATACACATTCTCTTTAGTCATTTTAGCCTTTGTCTTTCTCTAGTTCATACAATAGATTGCCAAATGTCAGAAAATCAGAAATTTTTACCAAAATTAATTTTAATTTTTTTTTTTTAAGACAGTCTCATTCTGTCACCCAGGCTGGAGTACAATAGCACAAGCTCAACTCACTGAATCCTCCACTTCCCAGGTTCAAGTTATTCTCCCACCTCGGCCTCCCAAGAAGCTGGGACTATAGGCACGTGCCACTATGCCCAGCCAATTTTTATGTTTTTTGGTAGAGACAGAATTTCACCATGACTGCCAGGCTGGTTTTAGGTTAAATTTCAGTGAGGGACTATCCCAAATTATACATTATCCTAATAAACATTTAATATGGTAAAGTAAAAATTTTAGATTAAGTTAAAATAAAGAAAATGTTTTACCTCCAAGAGTAGCTGCAAAGCTGGATGTCAATCCAAATTGATTTTCTATAAATTTAGGTAAAAATGTAGCAAATCCAGTAGTAATTAAGGCTTCTGAAGAAGTTGATAGAACTAAACACATGAAGACACCATTCTTCATCAAATTCTAAAGAAAAAAATACAGTTCCTCAAATGAATAGCTATGATTATACTGCAAAGTACAGAGTTAGAAGGTTAGCATGGCAAATTTTTAATAAATGTAATACAATCATCTATAAAATTTCATCATTTCCTCTAGAACAAAAATATAACAATGGATAATTAATAAATTTACATATACATGATTTACAACAAATTGATACATGATTCGTCAATATGGTGGTTATGCTTTTATTGCATTTAAAGGACCAGGGAAAGAAGCTAAAGGCCTTGGAAAAGTTCCCTTCCCCAGTCTTACTGTAAATCTTCACACTATAAATCTACCACCTATTTGGTGTTTTCTTGTGTTTTGAATTCCTATGTCCAGTAAACAAAGAATTTGAGGCTATGAACACAGATGAGAATGGTCTCTAAGTATCAAATTCATAGTATTGTTCTATGATTAGACTCAGCAATTAAGAACCTTAGAAACACAGTTAAGCAACTTTAAATAGGTGTCTATATGGCTAGACCTCTCAGAATCTTATTTATTTACAAAAGGAAGTTTGGAGGTTAACTATGTTAATATATTTAACCAGAAAATGAAAACCAAATTATAGTTGTCAAATATCAAATGCCAAAAAATTTTTCATAAAACCAAGCAAAACACACACACACACACACACACACACACACACACACACACACACGTCACAAGGGAGCAAGATGAGAGCATTAGAAGTCAGAGCCACATGACCTAAAACCGGCAAAGGGAGGGAAAAGTACCTGAAAATATGCAATAATTTAAAATAATTTAAATAATGATATTTTAAAAAATTGTTTTCAGATTGAAAATAATGGATTCTCGAGAAGAATTAATGAAAAAAGTCATACACTTCAACATAACTAAATAAATTTCCTGTAATTAAAGATAAATGAAAAACTTACCAACATACAGATGAAAAGAATAAGTCAGAATCACACTGACATGAAACTTCTCAAATACAACACAATTAAGTAGAAAAAAGCAAACAATATCCATAGACTACTGGGATTAAAGAGGAATGATCCAAAAGTATTCACCTAGTCAAATATATTATTCAGACATTCAAAGATATCTAGGCAGTATCTTATCTAAGGAAAACTAACAACAAAATCTTGAATTCATAGAAATTGAAATCAGAATAGGGATCTCTAAGCAGGAGGACATAAGGACTTAAAAAAAGTAATGAGCCGGGCGCGGTGGCTCAAGCCTGTAATCCCAGCACTTTGGGAGGCCGAGGCGGGTGGATCACGAGGTCGAGAGATCGAGACCATCCTGGTCAACATGGTGAAACCCCGTCTCTACTAAAAGTGCAAAAAATTAGCTGGGCATGGTGGCACGTGCCTGTAATCCCAGCTACTCAGGAGGCTGAGGCAGGAGAATTGCCTGAGCCCAGGAGGCGGAGGTTGCAGTGAGCCGAGATCGCGTCATTGCACTCCAGCCTGGGTAACAAGGGCGAAACTCCGTCTCAAAAAAAAATAAATAAATAAAAATAAAAAAATAAAAAAAATAATGGTCAGTAATGACTCTCAATAGTAATGCTAGTTAAAGTTTATAAAATAAATTAAATAGGAATAATGAAATAGAACTACTATAAGAGAAAATAACAGTAGTTGCAATTAAAGCACGAACAATGTCAGCCAAACACAAGAATGCACATGTATGGTGGGGAGAGTTGAAAGATGGCCTAAGTGGAGAAGTAAAAACATTTTAAGGCTTTTATTTGACAAGAAGCCAAAAACAATGAAAAGCAAACAATTTCACCTTTTGAAAAAGTAAAATTATAAAGTCTCTTATGAATAAAACTTTTATAACACTAAATAGAAAGAATACTTTTCTGCTGAGTACAACTGAATGGACCATAGCACTTTTGTTCTTTAGCGTCGAATTCAAAACAAGTTACCATTAACTTCCTCTGACACAAAATAAAAATATTGGTTCAGAATTCTCAAATATATTTATAATTCAGTGATAATTGACAAATCAATTTCATAAAGAAAATGTCATGGAATAATGGACTATTAGTATCAACAAGGAATCAGTGAATATTGATACTGCCAATAAAACAACTCATGCTCTTTCAACCATTCTACTCTGGAATAGTTTTCATTTACTCAAAGGACAATAAAACTGAATCCAAAGAGTTGTTTATAAGAGCTCAAACTATTGTCAAGAAGCAAACAAAACTGTATTTTGAAAAGATGGGGTGTGTGTGTGTGTGTGTGTGTGTGTGTGTGTTTATGTGGGTGTTTATATGTAATGTATACATGTGTGGTTATATGTGTATATATAAAACACACATCTACACATATGTACATGTGATTGTGTGTGTGTATATATATGTGTATAAGACTGAGAGACAGAAAAGAGTTTTATTTTACCTTTAGAGCAGCCGGAAAATCTTTAATACTTTTTCCAAATTTTTCATCTGTATTACTATTACTCTGATGAGCCTGGGAAGTTTTTCCAGCTTGAATCTCTGCTGTACCTAAAGAGAAAAAAAAAAATAGTAAATGAACTTGCTCTATCACTTTATTCCTTATGTAAAAAGTGCTTACTTTTTGATTGACATAGACTTCCACTAGTATATAAATGCTATAACATAAGAGGCCAGTTCTCTGTCAATAAAATTGTTCATATATCTATGTCTATAATCAGGATACCCCAAGAACTGTATTCATTACTACTTGCTAAGGAAGTTCCAACCAGTCTAAACATTAAAATGAGACAATTTTGCTCCAATCACATATCTATGCTTTTCATTTAAAATCTCTTAACATTTTTTCTTTCTTTCAAGTGGTTCTCTTTTTGATCCTAATAAAGTATATTAAAGTATTTTTGTGGTTTTTTTCCTCTGCTTTCTTAATCCTAACATGCTTGACAAGTGAAATATTTACCATCTTATTACCATGTCCCTTGGATTTTTAATAATGGTACTGCCAATAAATCTGAGAAAATAGTCAACATATGGAATTACAAATGAATGGCTCAGGGTAGAAATTAAGTTAATGAGTCTACCTACTCATAGTCTGTCAGATTTTCTCTTGCCCATTTCCAAAAGGTAATCATCTATCCTGTTATAAATAACAATGTAAACAACTAAATACCTTCAACCTAAAAAAAAAAAATACTTCTACAGATATGCATTTTAACTTCATCATTATGCAGAAGCAAGAGCTCATAAAGAAAAATTAATATTCTTTTTTATTAACCTTTTCTTGTTATATAGAATGTTTAGTATTCTAGTCAGGCATGGTGGCTCATGCCTGTATCCCTAGCACTTTGAGAGGCTGAGGCAGGGAAATTAACTGAGGTCAGGAGTTCGAGACCAGCCTGACCAACATGGCAAAACCAGTCTCTACCAAAAATACAAAAATTAGCCAAGTGTGCTGGCACATGACTGTGGTCCCAGCTACTCGGGAGGCTAAGTCAGGAGAATTGCTTGAACCCAAGAGTCAGGTTGCAGTGAGCAGAGATCACACCACTGCATTCCAGTCTGGGCAACAGAGGGAGACTGTCTCAAAAAAAAAAAAGAAGAAAGAAGAAAAAGAAAGAAAGAAGAAAGAAAGAAAGAAGGAAAGAAAGAAAGAAAAAAGAAAGAAAGAGAGAGAAAGAAAGAAAGGGATGTTTCGTATTCACATACAGTAAAAAAGTAAGTAAGTACACTACAGAATGACTTCGGTGATAACGGAAGATAAAAGCACTTGCACATTTAACTACAAGTAATTAACATGAATCATTTAAAGCAGATTGAAGTTAATGACTAACTGAATGCAAACTAATAGTTTAAAAGATATTGTACCTTGCATACACATAAAGTAGAATTCCAGATAAAACAGAAACAAATTTAGTAAGTACTAAGAAGGCGAATATTCATAGTTTCATTATTAATTGGAAATTGAAAAAACCCCTGAATATTAAGATTGTTACCCAATGTTTTCTAGAATGAAGAATATTCAAAAGTTTACATAGGCAGATACTTGAGATTCTATAAAACAAACTGGGTGAATCTATAGTTCTTATTAATCATATAGAAAATAACAACTGACCTACAATTAAAATAAACTTCTCTGGTTTTAAAGAAAGCAAGTTTACCTGGTAAATGTTTTGGAAAGCAAGAAAAAGGTATTATTAAAGACCAAGCAAAGATCCATGATAGAATAAATCCAATCCACCAAGCTCCCAACCAACGTGGATCATCCTCAGTGACATCAGTGCTACATGATAGAAAAACAAGAGGTAAAAGTCAACTCCACCTTATTAATTAAAACTCAGTTAAGATAATTACATACTTTATACTTCCAGTTCATCTATTAGAATATTATTATAATATACAACATTTTAATGGTGCCATTGTGAAGAATCAGAAAACAGGTAGCAGGAATAAATGAGAGTTATAAGAATAATGGTTTACAAAATGTTTAAAAATGGCAAATATGACATAAAAGTTTAAAATTCTAATAGTAAATTGAGAACTATTTGAAGAGATACATAGAATTTCTCAACATTTTTTAACTTTAGCTAAATTTTCTTCTCTACTCTATTAAATTAAATATATATCACGGCAATCACTGATCTATGTTAAAAGGCCATAGACTGTGCTTCATTCAATTAGTGCATTTCTTTAATGTAAAATTATTCTTAAAGTAATTTTATTTAATGGTATCAGTCTGTCACCCAGGCTGAAGTGCAATGGCATGATCATAGTTGACTGCAGCTTTAGACTTCTGGGCTTAAGTGATTCTCTCATCTTAGCCTCCCAAGTAGCTCGTAAGCTACTATAGCTAAAAGCCACTCCTGGCCTCAAGTGATCCTTACACTTTGACCTCCCAAAGTGCTAGGATTACAGGAATGAGCCACCATGCCCAAACAGGGTTCTTATATTTTAATATACTTTGGACCTTTCTAAAAATACACGAATCCTACAAATCATTCCACTAAAATTAAAATGTCCTTTCTTAAAGCTCTGGGTTTAATACTTCGAGAGTTCTTCTGCATGCCTTTCTAAAGGCTGTGAAAGATTAACCTAGGACTAACAGTTTAGAGAACAAATCACATACCATGACCACATTTTTGTATTCACTGCAATACAGTGAATTGCAGTGCAGGTCATGTACAGAATTGTACAGTTACTATTCCTAGTGGCAAAATAAAAAAAATATGATCTCAGCAAAGGCACAAATTTCTCTAAGCAAAAATGGAGAAGGTAACTAACTCACTGTTGAATTTTGGAGTCAAAGAGATCACTTTAATCTATGTCTTAGCCACTTACCAACCTGTGCGTATCAACTATTATTAAATAAGATAGCACATAAAAAACATATGGTGTCTGGTACATAGTATAGGACAAATAAATATTATCTATTATTATATTATTATCCTTCCTTGTCATTGTTGTTAAAATGGAGTAATTGTGATCTCTATGGCATTATCAGAGTTACTATGGAACATTTTCTGACGATAGTAATTCTGATAATGCCATAGAAGGGAGGAAGGGTGGAAGGGAGGAAGGAAGGAAGAAGGATCGTAGACTCTTGAGACTCTACAGACTATCTAGTCACAACTAAATCTATGGAAAATATTGTTAATTTCTATTGAATTATTATTTTTGAACAATGCATGAGGTCCTAAATATTTTTTCTAAATTTCACCAGATGATTTTTATTAAACATCCTTATTTACAAAAATATGTTATTATAATAAAAGATGGTATGGCATTGATCCAAAAGGCAATACAGCCAAATATAAGAATTCTTTGTATTCAGTTTTGTTTCCTGAATAATTTCTCATGCTATACTGAAGGAAGTACTGTGAAAATGTTCTGTCTATGATGTTGGCATAATTAAAATAAAATAAATTTAAATAAAAGAAAAATTGATACTGCCTTGCCTTTCACTCATAGCAACATCAATGTACATGGTTAGCAGCTGTCCTCCCAATACATAGCCAATAGCAGGGCCTAAGATTGACATAGCATAACCAGTTCCTAGAAGAAAAACAAAGACATTGAATATAGTCATATGTACAACCTCACTTTGCATGCTTAACAGTGAAAACAAATGTTTTACTGTAGAAAAATAAACAACTAAACATATCAAAATCACACGCATTTTTACTAAAACAATACCATTTGAATCAACAGTCAAGTCAAGGAGCCCAAAATATATAACTCAGGGTAAAAGATATTTGTAGTAATAATTAGAACAAAACTAAAAATTACAAATCCATGGAAAGTGTTGGTAACTGGTGGTAGAAGTAGTATATCTACTATTGGTCCTTTACTGATCGTGATCATAAGTGCTGTTTATAATATCGTGGAAGAAAACAATGTGAGCAAACTGAAATGAGAAGTCTTTTCCACTCTGTACAACTCAGACAGAATTTTTTATTTTGCACTATAGCAGCTGACATCAAATCTGGATCTGCTGAGAAGTCTCTTTCTTAAAAGTAAGCCATTAGTTTAAACTTTTTCTCTTAGGGACTTTCCCCATTTTTACTTGCAGTAGAATTAAATGGCATTTATTTCTATCTGTCAGATATTTTAAATCTTGCCATATATAACTCTAAATTTTTGTAAAACAAAACTTATTTGACCACTCCGGTCTTTTCATTGTTGTTGTTGTTGTTTATTTAAGCTCCTAGTTTCCCTTTTTTTCCTTTTATTTTGTAGTTGACACAGAACCATTGCACATTTTAGAGGGTACAGAGTTATGTATCAATATAACTATAAAATGTATAATGATCAAATCACACTAATTAGCATACCCATTACCTCATACATTTATGATTTGTGCTGGGAACTTTCAACATCCTCTCTTTTAGTGCTTTGAACATATACAATAAGTAACGGTTAACCATATTCAATCTATAGTGCTACATAGAACACTAGTGCTACATACCTTCCCTTCCCAAATCTTTCCCAGCCTTTAATAACCGTAATTCTACTCTTGAATTCTATGAGCTGATTTTTTTTTCTTTTTAGCTCCCAGATATCAGTGAGAACATGCAGTATTTATCTTTTGTGTATACATTTCACATTTTCTTTATCTATTCTATATCTCTTGATGAATAGCTTGATTCCATCTCTTAGCTATTGTGAAAAAATCATGAGGATACAACTATCTCTTCAATACGCTGATTTACTTTCCCTTGGATCTTACCTCATAGTAAGATTGCTGGATCATATGGTAATTATACTTTCAGTTTTTGAGAAATCTCTATACTATATTCCATAATGGCTGTATAAATTTACATTCTCACCCACAGTGTATAAAAAGTTCCTGTTTCTCTGCATCTTAACGAGCATTTGATATTTTGGCTTTGTGATAATAGCCATTCTAATCGAGGTGAGATAATGTCATTGTGACTTTGATTTGTATTTCCCTGATCATAATTGATGTTGACCATTTTTTCATATAACTGGTGGCCATCTGTATATCTTATTTTGGAAAATGGCTACATAGATTCTTTGCTTACTTTTTAATTAGATTATTTGGACTTTGCCAAAGGGGTAAAGAGGTCCGTAGAGTAAGGTAATGAAAGCCTAACCAGGTACTGAAGGTGAAACAAATTCTTCAATTGAGAGCTAAATTTGAAGCTCCTCATAAGCCAAATGGAATGTTTATAGAGGTTTTCCTTCAGAGGTTTCTACTTGGTTCATTCTTTGGAATGCTCTGTTATCCAGAGATTCACGCGATCTAGAGAGAATGCTGCTTAAATGGCTCTTCCTAATCTGCAAAGCTAGCATGCCCAGAGCAAAAAATACAGCAGTGCATCAACAAAAATTATTATAATTTATATTTACTGACATTATATGGCAGGAAATAAAACAAAAGGAATACTGCATTTATTTACTAGGAATGCCTACGGCATTACAACTAACTTTTAATATGCCTATGTTATACTTTACTTCTAAAGTAAACAAATAATAAGATAAAGTGAAACTGAGACAGTTTAGAGAGTAAACTTACCTATATAGAGAGAAGATTTGTGTGTGGGCACAGAATCATCAAGAAAGGCTGTTCCCAGGGTGTAGAGAGGAGTTCCTCCTGCCCCCAGCAATAGTTGTCCCAAGATGAAGATGTACAAGTAGTTAGAAAGTGAAGAAGTTGAAGAGGTACAACTGGTGCTATTCCTTGTTGTTATGCAAGTATCTTTGAGAAAAAAATAAAATAAAATTGTGAATTTATAGACATTTAGCTAATACTTTAAATTTCTATCATATAAATTATATTTGCCTAGTGTAATATAACATTATTTATTTCTTTCAATCATTTTACTTTGATTTAAACTACTGGAAAATATGTGAAAAGAAAAATATACTTTCTTTTACATGTTGTATACCCCTTTAATTTTTTTTTACACAATTATAGTCTTAATAAAACATACTATCATTATATTCAACAATGTCCACTTTTCACTTATTGACTATCTTTGATATTCCCACTTAAACCTTCATTTCCAAACTAATTGTTACTGCCACAGGATACATGCAGTAATCACACACCCTCTGTATTTTTGCTGGGAATTGCACTCCAGACCTGTTCCTATTTGGCCATCTTGGATCGTCTTCCTCACATTTTCTGCTTAGGGCCTAACCTGGATGCCTCTGCTTTCACAAGTTAGCTAATTGACTGATTATATTAACCTGAGCTTATCTAATTGGCTTATTGCAATCACCTGGGCTGAGCTAATTGGCTTAATACAATCACCTGGGCTGAGCTAATGGGCTTAATGTATTTGCCCAAGCTGCAGAAGATGACCTCTGACCTACTTTTCTTCTGAGGCTTATTTTGCAATGTATGCATAAGGATTACATAGACATAGCCAGGCAATCTATTGTGTTTTATATGTTTATCCACCTGTCTTATGTCTAAATAAAATAATTAAAATGCTAGAATAAAACCATTGTGTAATTATGGAATAGGAAGAGTCATATAGCAAACTCAGAACCTAGGAAAATTGAACTGATTGAAAAATTTGTTTACAGAAAAAAATGCAAGTGACAACGAATGTATGGAAAAATGCTTAATTTCAGATGATTTTTAAAAAGGAAATGAAAAATTTTATATATATATATACATTTTTTTAACCAATGAGATTGATAGTAATTTAAGTTTTATTATGTAAAGTGTTAATGACTTGTTGGGGGATTGCATATTTGTAAGACTTTTTGATAAAGCAGTTTGGCAGTATCAAAATACAAATATTCATTCACTTTGACCTAGAAGGTTCACTCTTTGTAACCTGTCCTATAGGTAGGCTTGCACAAAATGTGCCAGGGTAAACTTAAATATATATATATACATATATATATATATATATACATGTATATATATACATGTATATATATACATATATATATACATATATATATGTATATATATCACAACATTCTAATAGAAATAACAAAATGATTTAAACCTATGTATAATACAATATAATATTAACAATATTTATTATTAGATACATGTGTTGGACTAAGTAATAAAATTACAGGACATTTATGCTATGGAATATTATGACAGTGTCAACAAATAAATTTAAATACAGAGCTCACTTCTCAGCACTTGAGCTCCTATAAGGGACAGACTGTCTCCTCAAGCAGCTCCACGACCCCCATACATCCAAAGAGACACCTCATAAAGGAAAGCTCAGGCTGACATCTCGCGTGTATCCTTCTGGGACGAAGATAACAGAATAAGAAACTGGCAGCAACCCTTACTGTTTTGCAGCCCCTGCAGGTGATCACCAGGCAAGCAGGGTCTGGAGTGGACTTCCAGCAGTCCTCCAGCAGAGGGGCCAGACTGTTAGAAGGAAAACTAAAAACCAGAAAGAAATAACTTTATCATCAATAAAAACAATGTCCACTCAGATACCCCATCCAAAAGTCACCAACTACAAAGACCACAGGTAGATAAATCCACAAAGATAGAAAGAAACCAGTGCAAAAAGGATGGAAAACCAGAACGTCTCTCCTCCTCCAAGTGATCACAACTCCTCAACAGCAAGAAACAAGGCTGGATGGAGAATGAGTCTGATGAATTCACAGAAACAGCGTTCAGAAAGTGGGTTTTAACAAAATTCTCTGAGATAAAAGAACATGTCCTAACCCAATTCAAAGAAACTAATAACCTTGAAAAAGGTTTGATGAAATGCTAACAAGAATAACAACTTAGAGAATAAATAAATGAATTGATGAGCTGAAAAACACAACACAAGAACTTCAAGAAGCATACATAAGTTTCAATAGCTGAATTGACCAAGCAGAAGAAAGGTTATCAGAGACTGAATATCAACTCAATGAAATAAAATGAGAAGGCAAGATTAGAGAAAAAAGAGTAAAAATAAATGAACAAAGCCTCCAAGAAATATGGGATTATGTGAAAAGACCTAATCTACATTTGATAGGTGTACCCGAACGTGACGTAGAGAATGAATCCAAGCTGGAAAACATTAAAGAGCATCAACACAATGAAGAAAATGCATCAACTAATAGGCAAAACAACCAGCTGGCATCAAAATGGCAGGATCAAATTCACACATAACAATATTAACCTTAAATGTAAATGGGCTAAATACCCCAATCAAAAACAGAGACTGGCAAATTGGATAAAAAGTCAAGACCCATCGATGTGTCGTATCCAGGAAACCCATCCCACATGCAAAGATACACATAGGCTCAAAATAAAGATATGGGCCCAGTGTGGTGGCTCACGCCTGTAATCCAAGCACTTTGGAGGCCAAGGCACGCAGATCACCTGAGGTTGGGAGTTCAAGACCAGCCTGACCAACATGGTGAAACCCTGTCTTTAAAAATCAAACAAACAAACAACAACAACAAAAAACAAACAAACAAAAAAAAAAAAACAAAATGAAAAACAAAATAAAGGGATGGAGGAAGATTTACCAAGCATATGGAGAGCAATAAAAAAAAATGCAGAAGTTGCAATCCTAGTCTCTGATAAAATAGACTTTAAACAAACAAAGATCAAAAAAGACCATGAAGGGCATTACATAATGATAAAAGTATCAATGCATCAAGAAGAGCTAATGATCCTAAATATATATGCACCAATACAGGAACACCCAGATACATAAAGCAACTTCTTAATGACCTAAAAAGAGACTTAGACTCCCACACAATAATGTGAGAGACTTTAACACTCGACTGTCAATATTAGACAGATTAATGAGACAGAAAATTAACAAGGATATCCAGAACTTGAACTCAGATCTGGACCAAGCAAACCTAATAGACATTTACAGAACTCTCCACCCCAAATCCATAGAATATACATTCTTCTCAGCATGACATCACACCTACTCTAAAATTGACCCCATAATTGGAAGCAAATCACTCCTCAGCAAATGCAAAAGAATGGAAATTATAATAAGCAGTCTCTCAGACCACAGTGCAATCAAATTAGAACTCAGAATTAAGTAACTAACTCAGAACTTCACAACTTCATGGAAACTGAACAACTGGCTCTTGAATGTTGCCTGGATAAACAATGAAATGAAGGCAGAAATAAAGATGTTCTTTGAAACCAACAAGAATGAAGACACAATGTACCAGAATCTCTGAGACACATTTAAAGCAGTGTCTAGAGGAAAATTTATAGCAATAAATGCTCACATGAGAAGCAAGGAAAGATCTAAAATCGACACCCACTCATCAAAATTGAAAGAGCTGGAGGAGTTAAGATTTAAAAAAGTCAAAAGCTAGCAGAAGACAAGAAATAACTAAGAGCAGAACTGAAGGAGATAGAGACACCAAAAAAAACCTTCAAAAAATCAATAAATCCTGGAGCTATTTTTTTTTAAAGATCAACAAAATAGACCACTAGCCAGATTAATAAAAGAGAAAAGAGAGAAGAATCAAATAGATGCAATAAAAAACGATAAAAGGGATGTAACCACTGATTGCAGAGAAATACAAACTACCATCAGAAATTACTACTAACAACTCTATGCACATAAACCAGTAAACCTGGGAGAAATTGGTAAATTCCTGGACACTTGCACCCTCCCAAGCCTAAACCAGGAAGAAGCTGAAACCCTGAATAGACCAATAACAAGGGCTGTAGTTGAGGCAGCAATTAATAGACTATCAACCAAAAAAAGGCCAGCTGAATTCTACCAAATGTACAAAGAGGAGCTCGTACCACTCCTGAAAATATTCCAAACAATCCAAAAAGAGGGAATCCTTCCACAAATCATTTATGAGACCAACATCATCCCAATACCAAAACCCGGCAGAGACTCAACAAAAAAAGAAAACTTCAGGCCAATATCCATTATGAACATAGATGCAAATATCTTCAATAAAATACTGGAAAATCAATTGCAATGGCACATCAAAAAGCTTATCCACCATGATCAAGTAGCATTCATCCTGGGGATGCAAGGCTGGTTCAACATACGCAAGTCTGTAAATGTAATTCACCACATAAACAGAACCAAAGACAAAAACCACGTGATTATCTCAATAGATGCAGAGAAAGTGTTCAACAAACTTCAAGAGCCCTTTATGCTAAAAACTCTCAATAAACTAGATATCGATGGAACGTATCTCAAAATAATAAAAGCTATTTATGGACAAACCCACAGCCAATATCATACTGAATGGGCAAAAACTAGAAGCATTTCCTTTGAAATCTGGCACTAGACAAGGATGCCCTCTCTCACCACTCCTATTAAATATAGTATTGGAAGTTCTAGCCAGAGCAATCAGGCCAGAAAAACAAATAAAGGGTATTTAATTAGGAAAGGAAGAAGTCAAATTGTCTCTATTTGCAGACGACATGATTGTATATTTAGAAGACCCCATTGTCTCAGCTGAAAATCTCAAACTGATAAGCAACTTCAGCAAAGTCTCAGGATACAAAATCAATATGCAGAAATCACAAGCATTACTATACACCAATAATAGACTTAAAGAAAGCCAAATCAAGCCGGGTGCGGTGGCTCAAGCCTGTAATCCCAGCACTTTGGGAGGCCAAGGCGGGTGGTTCACGAGGTCGAGAGATCGAGACCACCCTGGTCAACATGGTGAAACCCCATCTCTACTAAAAATACAAAAAAATTAGCTGGGCATGGTGGTGCATTCCTGTAATCTCAGCCACTCAGGAGGCTGAGGCAGGAGAATTGC